ATAATGTCGTGCCGTTTTCCAAGTTTGATATCTTATCGATAGCTGTGCCCTTTTGCAGCCATACATCTGTCGTCAATCTGCAGTTACTACTTTAAATGCCATTCTTATTTTAATTAATTTACGTAGATGACAACCGTAGCAAGCCAAGAGGTAGCCAAGCAGTGCCGCGGCGTACTTTGTCTGCAAACATTCTGATGATATGAAAAACAATATCTAAGCTTGTATTAAACTACCGAAAATGTTGAAAGATGAAATGAAACGGAAATACACCGGCTCTTTCAGGTCGGGCCAGTATCGTGGGAAACAACATTTAAGTGAAAAAGAAACAACGTATCATGAAACAAAAGTGGCAACTTTTTCACAGCGTCATTGAATGTCAAGCAGTTTTGGTTTTCGTGTCGCTTTCAGTCTAGATTCAAGTAGATTCGTTTTTAAGCAGATTATCTTGTTTCTTGACTCTTTTTTGTTTTAATATGGGGCCAAAACAATTCTTCTCAATGTCAACATATAAAACAAAATCCGTTCTCCCTCTGCTCGCAAGTTCGCCGTCCGGGAGACCTCCATCTTTTTAAATCTTTTTGTAAAGCGACGCTTTTGTTGTTACAGATTATCGGTCGTGTCTTAAACCGCATCAAGCCCATTGCCGATAGACCCTGTAACCTTCAACACAATGTTCTTATTCACACGCGCTGAGTTGCTGTCTAAGGTTGCTGAGGGTGTATTTTTCTTTCTCGTGGACTGAGTTGAAGGGAAAATCACATACGCAATAACTAAACACAAAAGGAAATCGAGCGCTCTTCCAAACGTCTGGTAGCCCCACCAAGACCAGTGATCCACGGTTTCTTCGCCTTTAAGATCATAAAGTTTGTATAGCGAGAAAAGAGAGTACAATTCTAACCCAACGTAGAGCAGGCTCAGAAGAACCACTAGTCCTGAGATTCTCGCTATCTTTTGCGCTCCTTTCGGAGGTTGATTCTCATTGTTATGTCCATGTTGTGAAGCCTTATTCAAAGTTGACGCCGAATCTGTTGAATACGCTCTGTCTTTTGTTGTGCTCTTAAAAAATTTGATGCTGCTTCTCCACTCCAAGTTCACTTTCCAACCACTGTACAGGAAGCAAATCGCCAAAACTGTCCACCAAGCGATTTGAATAGTCTGGCACAATATGAGAAGACGAGCAAGCTTTGGACTGAATGTTATGATTACATATATAATGAACACAACGATGAAATGCGTCGCTATCACCGATACAAGGAACTTAATGTTTTGGAGACGACGTGAGATCAGTTCGAGTTTGTTGACTTCAAGGAAAGCAAAATGAATGAGCGATAAGGAAGATGTAAGGCATGGATAGCCAATGGCGAACAAGATTCTCACCACCAACACGGGTAGATGCAAAACCGTGTGAGATTCATAAGGATCCAGTGCGAGGAACAAAGCTCTGGATAAACTAAACAACATCAACATCAAACAAACGACGAAGAAATAATTACCAAGGGTCATTAATTTGGATCTTTGTCTGATACGCACCACACAGAAACAAGAGAAAAAAGCCATTGCGATAAATAGCAGTGCGAAACCAACGAAGTGTACTTCCCAAAGTGCCTTCCATTCGGTCAGCGCGACTTTCCAGTCCGGCAAAGGTTCTGGGTCTGCCAATGGATCAATGCCGTGGGCTGTCGATGGCATTTCTGCTGTGCTTTGTGAGTTGATCAAGGCTTTAGTTGTTTCTGGATTCGCCGACATCTTCCTGCACTCGTCACGCGGTGTTGAGCTTCAATATATAAACACTTCGGTGATTAAAATGCCCCTCTCTTCATTCGGAAACTCTCTTTCGCCGTATAAAGCAACGCTAATTCCCGCAGCTCATCAAAGCTGGTTTTTTCGCATACAGACGGGACCGCAAATGTTTTGCTTTCTCAATTCTCTTCAGTTTGCTCTCAAAATCGGCTTTTGTACCAATAAGCTCTCGCGGTTTTTGTGATGCAAAACAGCGGCTTTAACGCTATTGCTAAACGAAAGCGAGTTTACGTGCGTGTGAGAATGACATCATCATATAAACAATGTTAAACGGACCGATATCATAATTGCTATTTTAGGGTTATATGACCTCATACATAGAGATAAATCAAAGATACTTGCTTTAATAACTTGCACATGGGCATATTCATAAAGACTTCATAAACTGGAGTAAAAAAATTGTTCTTCTTAATCCGAGCTTTGTTCTCTTTGTTTTATACCACAATGACCCGCTACATATAACAGAAATCAAATACAGGGTTTTTTTTTCTACTTATCTATTTGTTTTAATATTCAAAAGAATATTATTGAAACTTTTCAGAAAAATAGTGCTACTTTATTCCCGAAAGACAAACATTTCATATCCGTGACCCATAATAATATTTTGTCCTCTCAAGGGTGAATATCTCACCAGGAGTTCTAAAATTGATGTGTCATGTTACTTTGTTTTGGCGAGATATGTTTAAAATTTTCTAGAAAAAAATCTTTGTTCCCTTCGCAACGCCTTGAGGCAAAAGTGGTATTTTTTAAAGAATACAAACCATTTGGGAAATCGCCCTTGAGGAAGTTGAATTGTAAAAGGCAGTCAAAAGGCCTGTCCGAAACTTCTTTCAAGTCCTCTCAAAATCCTAGTTCCTTCTTTGTGGGATTGGAGGCGTTTTCGCAAGCTATTTATTACATTTCTTTGACTTCCGTTTCGTCAAGTGAAAATCGCGTGGTGCGTGATTCGCATGACTTTTGCCCGCATGATTTTCATTTTATAATTAAACAAGTAAATTTACTCTCTATCTTTTACCGTCTAATACGTCTTCTTTTTTGCGAAAAATTTCTACTATCGTTTGATGAATCATCGAAAAACATATTCTTTTTAGATTGCTTTCTTTATCGATTCTCTTTTTATTTTGACTTAGTTGCTAGGGAACGAATAAACGAATTGTTTATCTTATCACTTAAATGCTGAGATATTTTCTTGGAGTTGAAATACAGACCACTTTCGTTCTACGCAAGCAAGTACATATGATGATTCTAGAAGTAAATGTTTGGGTACTTAGTTCTTTTCGACACTTGCAATAATATACATTAAGATTTATACTGTTCAAATTTTAAATATCAGTCAATCAAACACTATTATTAGAACTGTTGGTTTACAAATAACCCCTTCTCGATACATTACATTTCCAATTGTATTAAAACGTTCTGAATATTTCACTGTTAAGAAATCAATGCCAGATACCAGGAGCCCATAACCAGAAGCGAGTAACTTCCATGTACTCATGTCACGGCGTTTTCACCGACCAGTTTATTTTTAGAACAATTTTGGCGCGAATATAGAATATATTTTTAGTCCCACTAGCCAGTCAGCAAAACAAAAAGAAATGAAATGGTATTTTTGAACTTTACATGACCTTTAGTTTTCCTTTGTCATATCTCATACTTCGAAAGCGCTCATAGATCGAGCGGAGCTTCCATTTTTGCGGGCAAAAGCGTTCTAAAATGTACCTAAAAAATGAACAGATCCGTGAAAGCGCCGGAACATAACGCCGAGACCCATGTTAATCAATAGTTCCCTTATTTTGTAATGGGGGAGGAGTTTATTAGAAAGGGGGCGTTTATTGCAGGGTGACTTCTAATAATACAACCTTAACATCGTAGAGGGGACGTCATAAGACCATTGACGGTAATATGGGAGTTAATCCCTCACAAAGCTCTTTGGGATGAGGTTTTATTGATTTTGAAAGGTAACCCGCTACATGGCTGTATCCACAGACTCAAGAGTTTAGAAATATAGTTAATTTTAACCCTTTAAACTGGCATCTAAATTCTCCTTGTGAATATCACTGATAAATCAAACATAAAGCTCATGAGAACAAAACGGCTATCAGGTTAAAAAGTTCTTCATTAATTGTTGACAAATTTTCTTCAACAGTATCATGAGAAATGTATGGAGAGCTGTGTGCTGAATATCACCAGTAAGACTTAAAAGTTAAGCCTGTTCACATGTCAGAAGAATTACGGATGTGACGTTTTCTTGACATAATCTTTTTCTCCTCACGGCTAGAATGAACACTATAAGAGAGGAGAGATCGAATGTTGATCATGAGCTTGCTTTTCCTCCTGTTTCCTTTTACGTACTGAATTATTGTTCTCGGGTACATTTTTGTTACAATTCTAGCATTTGTTTAATTAAATCCTTAGAACTGAAGACGGTTATTCTTCACTTTTCCGAGTTGTTTTCTCCTTTTAATTTTCCAGTTGTTTTTTTAAAAGACTATTGAAGCGTATATATATAAAATCATTTAAGCTTTGGTAATTCAGAATAACATTACAGTACAGAACGATAATGATTCTCTCCTGCATCCTACTCATTCTAATAAATTGTTTGTTGTATAGGCTCTCCCGACTATTTTAAAACAAAAAAGAAGGAAGAAAAGTGCCGAAACTAACCATCTACCTGAGAGTTTTAATTATTTGGTCTATATACAGGAAGGAAAATCACACTGAACTATTCAGTAATATTCTAGGGTATTCAGTACACAGCAGTAAGAGTCTTGGAACATTTATTAACATATTTCCTTTCCTTTATCCCCTTATGGAATTATTATTTCAATGATATCAGCTTAAGGTGTTTAAGATTCTTGTCCGCCGGAAAAAACATTCCCTCGTTTGATTTTACAAAGATTCTTTATACGGCATAGCCGTAGACACCTCTTATTTCAAAAATATTAACACTATTATATACCAAGCAGTATTGCTTCAATATTACTTGAATAAATCATATCTAGGCATATATTAATCTTTTATTTAATAGTTATTTATTTATTTATTTTGATAAATATAAAATTATAACTGACTTAGACTACAAAATCTTTTCTCTACGGTTCGTCGCGCAAAACGCGCGAAAAACAGCTGACGCCTTCGCGTCATCTCGCGAGGTACGAGACAACTTGAAGTCTAATTATGACTCATCATGCAAGAGCATACTCCAATGTTGAAATTTCCTCTGAAATCATTAGCAGCTGTGTTTGAAGCAGGATGAAATAAACCCCCAATTTGAAGCTGTTTTCAGAATTCAAATCTACGCGTTTGCAAAAGCTTATTTCTGAAAAGTGGTTTTAACTAGAATGTCGAAAAATCAAGTGACTTTGACCAACCACATTGTGCACTGACAATACGGTAACTAAGCAGTGATCTAAACAAACACCTGCAGCCATTCCGAAGCAAAGGAAGACCGACGGGGATGAGCAAATCCATATTTGGTTTTGTCTTACTTTTGATTTGTTAAATGAGTAAGTAACACGAGATTTTTGGCCAATCAGAAGGCGATTCAATGTCCACACAACACAGAGGCGGGCGGTCTGGAATCGACTTTCTACACTCCACTCAGTTACAAAGCTCTAAATTGACTTTCACTGCTCCAGATTATCCATAAACTTATCATTTAAATGTAAAATATTTTGACATATTTATTGGGCTCGAACGAAGACACGTTTCCTCTCAACATGTTAGAGACGTTCTCGCCATGTGTTTAGTTGGCAAGAAACTGGAACTAAACCAAGGAAAGAACCGAACCACAGCGGTCTTAGAACAAACCCAAGTTCACTACATCAACTGTTCTAGACTCTATTATCTTTTTCTTGAGCCTTCTTGTGCGTTCGTCGTCAAGAGAATTCTCTTGACTTGGTTCTGGCACCATTTCATCGGTGGGAGAATTTGGTAAAGAGCTTCTTATTTTCCTGGCGTCTATCCCTGAGGAGGCACTAGCATTGTTTTCAAACTGTTGTTGAATTTGTGCTACAGCTTCCTCGCTGGTAAGCCGCGTAGACCGTCGCGGATACCGTTTCAGTTCAAACATGGTTCTCCTGTGCTGTGCATCGTTAGATCTGTAACTGCCTCTCGAGTAACGTGGTCTCCTTGTAGTATCGGCTTCGGGGCTGCTAGGTGATTTATTTGGGGACAGCTGCAGTTGTCGTCTTGCAGCAACCTTTTGGGGGAATTCATCATCTAATATTTCTGGATATAATTCAGCGGCAGACCTCACAAGAAGCTGAAATTCTTCTTTGAAGCAAGAGAGCTGTTTTTTCAAGGCCTTTTCTTCTGCTTTTAAGGAATCCTGTTGGAAAGCAAAACCTGAAGGTTCTAAAACAGTTTTGTTAAACATGCCATTTATAATAATTATAAAAGTGGTTAAATACAAAGACACTTGGAACCTCAATTCTCGCGACCTGTATCAGAAACAGCATATTGGTTCAATTCTTTTCCGGGGAAAACAGTATCGCCTTATTTGATTAATGGGCTCAGCTGAACACCCATCTATTGGTTACACGTTTTTTTTTTGTAATATTTATCAACTTGTTCCATTATGTTGGCGTTAATATGCACAAGGTATGACAAAATTGCTTAAACCAAGTATTGCTTCAGCAATGCATATCGGAGACTAAGTAGTTTTGTTTCGATTTGTTTGAATGAGAACCAACGCCAACGATTTCCTTTTCTCCTAATTGTTCGCCTATTTTTTTCCGTTTCCTGTCTTCTTTGCTATTCTTTCTTAGTTGAGAAAATTTTAATCGTTGAGCCTTGACGTTAACAAAGTTATTTTCCTTTTGTTTCCAGCCGAACGTGTAAAATCACATCCCGCGTAAATCAAAATCCCATCACGTACAGTGTATCGTGTTATCAATATTTTCGATTAAATTTAATGATGAAGGCCAAATTTTAGAGAAACTAAGGCTTTAGCACTTCCTACTCAAACACTTTGTTTTACAACAAAAACACGTGAAATGAATAAATTAGCATGCAGTTTCGTTTCTCGCTGGACAAATCAAAGTTGAGAATCCTTAATACAGAGAAATTTTATGGCTGTTTTTTTAATTCGCAGATTTATTTCCATAACACTAGCATTAATTTATCAAGAACTACTAATAAATCTTTCAAGGACTGGTGAATACATGCACAAATGGTGAGGTATGTTAACATGAAAATGCAAATTTCGTTTGCTCTTCTGTACCATTTTTAAACAAGGTAGACAGAGAATCTAAGTTGAATTTTGACATGCTATTGTATTCAATGAATAAATGTTGAACTGTTTGCTGTCGAGATTATCCATTAAATTCCTTTAAATTATCCAGCGCTAAAACAAAAAGGTAGTAACTGACACTCAGTTGTGCATTGATTACATAAGATGGATGATGTTTTCAAATTTTTCATGGGACTTGATACCTCCATCTTTAAAATCAAAGCTGTTCACAAGTCGCGAACAAGTTTGAAACTTTTAAAAAGAGTTAAGAGGTATTTCAGTAGAGTGCTAAACTGAGACAGTAAATCGGAGCATTAAACAATCTTGCACGCTTATTACACTCTCCGCGTTGATCAATATTCGCGATATATTTTCAGAATTTTATGTTGAGCAGGCAGTTATCTACTCACCATTTCAGCTTTCAATGCCAACAGAATCTGCTCCGGAGTTTGAAGTTGTTCTTCCATCTCTTCGATAGCCTTCGATGTCAGCCTGATCAGCTCGCAGAACTTGTGAGGCAAGAAAACTTTATTCAGCCAAGGCACTTGAGCTAATATTCACAAGTTTCTGTTTTGCATTTTCAGCAAAATATCGTGGCAGTGATCATTTGCAGCGATTCCGGAGTGTGATTGTAACAGTATCTAAGTACAGAATCAGGACCGACTGGAGTGATTATCGGTCGATTCTCCTTCGTTTCTTACAAATGCGAGTTGATCGCGGGCAAATATATCTACCAATAGCATGAACAAAAGATGATTAAAAGTTAATAAACTTTTTAATCAATCAATGGTAAACAAGCGCGAAAACTCCTAAACAAACCTTAATACTGCTGGCCGTCCCAACGTAACACCGATGCTAAAATCCGCCTTGATTTGCGTTTGAAATCAAACAGAGAAACTAAACATAAATCTTCCTGTCATGGCACATCTTAGATGAGCAGTTCAACGAACTACATATACTGCAGGTACAGCCAAATCACTTTCGTGACAATGCAAATTATAACTGTATGTGTTGAATAACTTGAAAGAAGTCATGAGTTTAAGGGTGGAGACGGGGGGGGGGGGGTTCGTAAAATCATGTTCTCGGTAGACTGCTAACAGTCTTTCTTTTGCTATTGTACTCAATTTTTTTTACAGCAAGATTTATTAGTCATGTGATTAGTCAGAGAGTCTACTGTTACGTACTGAAGGAGGGTGTTGAAAATTTGGAGGCGAGAATACCGAAGCCATTGACTCCGTCGCGAACTAATAATTGGGGGAGGCAGTGTTGTCGAAAGGTGAGCGCTGTCCCACCCTGACTGCTAGCTGGATTTGTTCTTGAGTTCAAATTCTTTGGCCAAGTTTGAATTCTTAACTATATTATGCTCCATTTGAAGTATTTGTTTCATCGATTCGTGAAGAACCTTATTAGCGGGGGAATAATCAGAGTATTTTTAATTATTTATATTTATTGTCCATTCAAGGTAAGGTTAATGATTTCCACAGTAAGAAAAGAAAATAGAAAGGTACTGTATTTCTTCTTCAGGTAATTTTTATTACTCTTTACTTTCTTTCGCCTCATTGAAGTGTGTGATCTACCTTAAACCTAACCATGGGAGGTCTGGGTCAGTAGGCGTTTTCCCCCAGGGTTACTCCCTTAGGAATGTGACGGAGATGCTCGTGTATCAGAAAGAAAGAAAATGAAATGGGACAAAACCGTGTTAAAAACAGGCAGCAAATTATGTATGGTAATTAAATAACAGTAATGGTCTTATTGTTTAAAACTCCCCCATGAATCGAGTTATTAGCTCATCAGTAATAAAACGCTATGAATCGAGTCATAAGCTCATCAGTAATGGAAAGAAAAAACAGAGTATGTTCTGTGTTTTTCGTAAAATTTTAAAAGCCGAAACCTTACCTTTTACATCATCATCAATATAAAACGTTGTGTGCAATTTACTAATGCCATAAACAGGCGTTATAATTTTTATCAGTGGATATCATAAAACATTGCCATTGTCTATCCTGGCTTTTATCATGTACATCCCGTTTTTAAAAGAACTGAAAAACATTTACGAGTCATATGAAGAGCTTTGCATCCACGAGCCATCAGAGTGATTTTACTAAACCGGTGAAACATTACGTAACAATTAGTACCCAATAAACCAGAACAATGAAATTAGAGTGTAATACCGCGTATTAGTCGACCATCTATTTCACGGGTTAAGTAAAAGCACTCTAAGTACCCCGGGGGGGTACTCTTGGGAATTCTTGGTGGGGGTGTACCGCCCGATTCTTCAAATTTTTTTGCCCGATTTCAGACCAAAAAATGTTCCCGTTTTAGACCAGACCTCTAAAATCCATACCCGTTTTCAGACCTGCCCTTTAGGCAGAAACTATGTAAGTATTATTTGGATTAGAGCGCGAACTAAAAAAAATTATTCAATCCCTTTCGAATTCGCATATTTCTCTTTCTTACTTTCTTACTCATTTGGAATTGAAACGATAAAAACGTTCATACACTGCGTAGTTCCCTCGAAAACCATACCCGATTCCAGAGCAAAACGGCGCAAAAACCGTACCCGATGGGGCGGCACATACCTGTGGCTATATAAGGGAGTACTACCCCCTCCCCCCCAACCCCCCAACCCCCCAACCCCGGGCTAAGAACTCCATATCAGGGCAGCTGATGAACCCTACTTCCGTACTTTTTCCAGCTGTCAACATGAAGTAATTGTTCAAATTTAGCTACACCGCTGATGACTCATAGCCGCGGTCACCTGTATCCGGTGAGAGCTGCGAGAAGGCAAAGGGGTCGCATTCGCTCCAGCGTTGAGTGTTGTGTAGTAACTACATAAAAGGCTCAACCTAAAAACTCGCATTGGTAGCCAGATCATTTAATTACTGTTGATTGATAAAGTTGATATTCTGCGGTTGAAAGACTGTATGTTTTGATACATCTCTGTCCCTGATCCAACATGGCCTCTTCAGACCTTAGTCACGGAAATACGATTATTATCGAAGAGGACGTCAAATTTCAACAGCAGATCGATCTTGCAGGAAACAGACTTGTTGTGGTGGACTTCACTGCTTCTTGGTAAGATACAAGTGCTTTCTTTTTTGGATCATGAGCTAAAGAACCAATAAACATTGACTAGCAGCCGGAAACCGCGCAGGAAACCTTTCTATATAAACACAACTGTATGTTCCTAACTTATGCTGTTTGAGCGGTCACGCATCAGGATTTCATTCACAAATTCGAACGCTTACTTATAAAAATCACGTTCATGATCTCAGGTGAATTTCGCGTAAAACGTCCTTGATAACGAAAATCTTTTTAATAATGCAAGTCTAAAGTTGCTAAAAATATTACCTTTTTAAACACTTAGTGCAAAAATTATTTAAACTTACACTGTAAATTCTACTTTTAGAGACAATTAATTTGTTACACAAGGCTGTTGCGTAACATTTGTACTAAGTTCAGTTTATGCTTGTTGATAAGTTGCCTTTTATCATAAACATAGAGTTAGAACAAGGAATAACACTAAAAATGAAAGCACCAAAGTTGTTGTTAATACATGTGTCTTCTCCATGGAAATTATTAAGCCAAGCACACACTAATAACAAACAAAAACCTTTTTATTTTATGTGATGTCATTCTTGCTTGACAAACAATGTTTCTTCTGTGGTATATTGTATTTTTTCAGTTTTAATATTTCTTCTCCTATACTAAAAATTATTATATATAAAAATGCCTAGCAGCTGTACTTTTAGCTTATAGTAAGATAAAGATAAATTAAGACAAGGCAGCTGTGCTCTAAGAAAAATTGAAAGGCAGCCCAGTGCTCTGAACTTATGAAATCGAAGGTGCCCAGCATATGATTTGTACGAAAAAAGTAAGATTTTCTAGTCGCCCAGGAGCAAAAGTTAGGCACCACCGACCACCGGGCACTGATAGAACACAGCCTTAGTTAATATAAAGACTAGTTATAAGACATTTTTTCACAAGTTTAACCATGTTGATCTATTCCTTTTATGTACTCTTTGTTTTAAATTAAGAATCTTTCTTTGAAATTTTGTACACTTGGAATTAAAATTTTAACAAACTTTTGCATCCAAAAATTTACACTTTGGATTGTTTTGATCAACATCAATATCCAATATGCCTTTTTCTTCTTTCAAGTCATTGTTTCTGTGTTGTTTTGAAGTCATATCATTTACGAGTAGTTTTGTTGCTATTTATTGTGTGTTTGCCTAGTCATGACTGCTTAGTCATACTTTTGCTTGTGATTTGAGTGCTTGTAAAAAGGTCATTTCCTTTTTAAACAACCTTTAGTTGACTTGATAACTTAATTTAAAAGATCTACCCTCAAGACAGGAAATGCTGTAATGTTTCTATTTTACACTTGACATCCATTTTGTGTCATTTCGTTTCAAAATATGGGATTGAAAGAATATATCATAATTATATGTTTTAAAAAACATATGGCACTCTTCAAATACTGGTAAATTAAAATGTTTTGGCTTCTGGAGAAGATTTTGAAAAGCAGTAAATTTCAAATTAACATGTTCTTTTTTAAACCAAATTATGGAGACTTAATTTGTCACTGCAACTTTTAAATTTGTCCACAAAATCGTATGATGTTACTATTCAAATGAAACCTTTCTGGTAGAATGTTTTTTATACTCTATATTTCTAGGGATTTTATGAGGAGAATTTGACTGTTTTTGTGAATTTTTCTTTGTCCATTGAATGACATGGGTACAATCACATCTTCAACAACAGAACTCTCACTTATTGTATTATAATACAATTATTCTTACAGGGAGCTGTAGTTCTAATCTTGGTGGGTAATGTTTTAAACCTGACAATATTTTCAAAACCATAAGGGGACCTTCATCTTCAAGAAATTGTGTTTGACTGGGCTGTTAAGTAGTCTGCACATAATAAGTTAGCAAAACAGAAAAAAATAGTTATTATAATAATACTTCAGATCTTGAGGGTTGTAAGGATGCTTGTGAAAATCATCACTCACAAATCAACCTGTCTTAAATAGATTTTTTAGATTAGTTTTCACTTCAGTGAGCATAATTTCCCATAACGGGGTAGTTTCCAAATAAATCTGACTAGATGTTGTGTCAGAAAGATAACTGATGAAACCGTAAATTCAAGCTCTTATGGCAAGCGAACATTTTTTAATTCAGACGTTATATTTTTCTCAAGTTTTGTCATGCTAAACAATAACAAGTTTGTGTGAGTTTGAATAAAAAACCACATCTGATCAGGCCCAAATATCTTTATTTTCACAAGGACTTATAGTTTAATGATAAGTTTTGTACAAATGTATATGACACTTGTGGTTCACCTTTTTCCTTTTTCCTTGTTGCAAATTTTAGTTTCTTTTGTTCTATTTTCTTGTATACTGATGTTACAAATTTATATGAAAATGAAGAAGGAAAGAATAAGTTGTCATTCAAGTTTGATAAGT